GAATAGAATAGAATAGAATAGAATAGAATAGAATAGAGTAGAGTAGAGTAGAGTAGAGTAGAGTAGAGTAGAGTAGAGTAGAGTAGAGTAGAGTAGAATAGAATAGAATAGAATAGAATAGAATAGAACAGAACAGAATATAATTAAAATAAGGAATAGAATAGGAAAATAGAATAGAATAGGAAAATAGAATAGAATAGAATAGAATAGAATAGAATAGAATAGAATAGAATAGAATAGAATAGAATAGAATTAAAATAAGGAATAGAATAGAATAGGAAAATAGAATAGAATAGAATAGAATAGAATAGAATAGAATAGAATAGAATAGAATAGAATAGAATGGAATTAAAATAAGGAATAGAATTTAATAGGAAAATAGAATAGAATAGAATAGAATAGAATAGAATAGAATAGAATAGAATAGAATAGAATAGAATAGAATAGAATAGAATAGAATAGAATAGAAGTAAAATAAGGAATAGAATAGAATAGGAAAATAGAATAGAATAGCATATAGAATAGAATATGGAATAGAATAGAATAGAATAGAATAGAATAGAATAGAATAGAATAGAATAGAATAGAATAGAAGCTGGAAGGGACTTTGGAGGTCTTCTAGTCCAACCCCCCTGCTCCAGCAGGAGAACCATTTTCTCTCCTGGATAACTGTTACTACACTTTTGCTTCTAGTCCTCAACTTACAACCACAATCGATCCCAAAATTTTTGTTGCTAAGGGAGAGATTTGTTAAGTGAGTTTTGGCCCATTTTACGACTTTTCTTTCCCATCGTTATTAAGCAAAACATTGCCATCGTTAAATTAGTCACACGGTTATGAAGTGAATCCAGCTTCCCCATGGACTTTGCTTGTCAGAAAGTGGCAAAAGGGGATCCTGTGATCCCCCCGGAGACCCTGCGCAACCGTCCTAAATAGGTACCACTTGTCAAGCGCCCCAGTATAAATCACATAACCGGGGGAGGCTGCCACGGTCACAAGTGTGAAAAACAGTCATCAGCCCCTTTTTCCAGTAATGTTGTAACTTTGAATGCTCCACGTTTATTGGGAACGGGAGCGTGTGTGTGCCCCTAAAATGCACACAAAGCCCCCCCCTTTCAGTGGCCCCCTTTGCACTCCTCTTCCCAGCATCCCACAGCGAAGACCCTGGTCCCAGGGCCACATTCACACACACACCTTGCTAAGCTTGACCAGCGTCGGCCTTATTCCTTGTCCTTCCGCGGCTTTAGGGGCTGCAGTTCCGGCACCCCAGATTCGTTTCAGAAGTTTGTGGCGTGAACGGTGCCGTTCTGTGCCAGACTTCCCTACAGGAAGCAACCAATGGGCACCCTTCAATCCTGGGGGGCACCAGTGACAGCCCTGACCAAACCCCCGTTTCCCCCCTTCACACTTTCCAACTGCAGAGCTTTGGGGGGAAGGCTGGGGGGGGGGCAACCAGATGCCACCATTTTCTTTGGTAGAAACGGCAAGCTGGGCCTTCCTGGGGTCTGCAGCTGTGCCCCTCCCTTGCCTTCAGGGTACCTGACCCTGCTGGCATTTATCTCCCAGTGTGGGCATAGATGTGGTATATGCATAATTCTTTCTTTCTTTCTTTCTTTCTTTCTTTCTTTCTTTCTTTCTTTCTTTCTTTCTTTCCTTCCTTCCTTCCTTCCTTCCTTCCTTCCTTCCTTCCTTCCTTCCTTCCTTCTTTATTTATTGTCATAGCTATGTGGTGTATATTGGAGGGGTGAGCCTTTGAGAACTGAATGCAACGAAATTTCATTTTAATGTATGCCGATTAGGGTACATTCAAAGTGACGATAAAAATATTACTCTAATTCAGTGGTTCTCAACCTTTTTAATGCCGCGACCCCCAACCGATTGTAAGTCGAGGACTACTCAACCGGTCGTAAGTCGAGGACTACTCAACCGGTGCAGCACCGTTTGCAGAATGGGACTTTTGGTGGGCTCAGCAGGGCAGAGACAGCCTGGACAATTCCTATTGGCTTTGGAAAGCCAATAGAATTAGACTCTATTCAAGAGAGTCTATTCTATTGGCTTTCAAAAGCCAGTAGAATAAAAGGGAGTAGCACAGCTAAGGAAAAGGGGGGGGGAAAATGGTGGACTGCGTTGTTTGGTGACCCCCGTGAAATGGTTGTTCGACCCCAAATGGGGTCCCAACCCACAGGTTGAGAACCACTGGACTATTTATTCTTCCAGCTGCCCCTTGTGGGGAGGAAGCAGGAAGGAGACCCCTCCCCCCCTTGGCCAAATCAGTGGAACCTGATTAGGAGTCCCTAGCTGGACATTTGGGGCCCTACAAGTATGGAGACCATCTGGACTGAGGCAAAGGGATTCTGGGGGGGGGGCAACTGGAGCCCATAACAACAATGACAGTGACAACAGCAACGACAACAACAGGATTATCATATTGTAGGAGAGTTATGTCAGTCTAGGATAGCCAAAAAGCCAAAGGTGGCCCCTCGACAGCTTTCTTAAAAGGGACCCCATTTTGGTGAGCTGTGCGTGAAAAGGGGCTACAGAACTTCTAATTGTGCAGTCACAATCACAGTAACGGCAACGTCACAAGTTCGGGGCCTCTTCGAGGGGGGCTCTCCGGTCCGCCCCCCGTTTTCTGCCCCCCCTCTCTGGGTCAGGAGGGGGCTGGAAGGGGAGACGCGCGGGCCAAGCGGGACCGCGGCGCAGGCGGTCCGGACGGCTCCGACGGCTGAAAGGCGCCGCCCGCTCTTGACACGGACGGCAGCCGCGGGCGGCCGGCAGCGAGGACGGAGCGCTCCTGCAGCCCCGGAGGCCGGGCGGGCGAGCGAGCGAGCCGGCAACCGGGGCGGCGGGTTCTTGCGGTCAGGCCCGGCGCCGGCGAGCCGCTCCCCGCCCGCCAAGCCACGCGGAGCCCGGGCGAAGGGCGGCAGAGCTCGCCCGCTGGGGCCCGGAGGCTGCAGCTCCGTCCGGCGCTTCAGGGGCCCCCGGGGAGCCCCCCGCCCGAGTATCCGTCCCTCCTCCAGACCGGGAACGGGAAGAGCGGGGGTCCCCCTCTGAACGGGTCTTCCAGGCGTGGCGAGGGGGCCGGGAGGGCAGCGGGGCGTCTGGGTCCCCGTGGGGCCGGGGAGACCCCCCCCGGCCCGGCCCGGCCCAGCGCAGAGAGCCGCCCTGAAGCCCCGAGAAGCGGAGGGGGGGGCGACTCTGCTGCAGCCCCCCCCAGCGGCGCCGGGAGCCTCCGCCGCCCGGGCCAGCGGGCGCCCCGTCCACCTGCCCTCTCCCATCCCCGGTCAGACTCCGGTCACCGAAGGCCGGGATCCCTGTCTAGGGTGGGAGGGGGGGGGTCTTGGCCAGAGACCCGCTCAGCCTTTGCATTTTAATGTCATTAAACGGTTTTAACGCCAGTCTGACCACCGGACGATTCCTGGTGTCTCTTGGTGGAGGACCCGGAGCCCCCCCCGCCCCGTCTTTTCCCGGGCCTTGGTTGTCGCCCCCTCCCGCTCCTTCCGAGGCCCCTTCCAGTTTCTCGGATGCCCGGAGCGGGACACGATTCGCGGCGGGGTCTTTTCCTTCGGGATAGCAAATGCGCTCGCCTTTGATCTCCTTCCCAGGCAGGGAGAGGGGAAATCCCAGGGGAAATCGCCCCCCCCGCCCCCCGTTCCGCAGACAGGTGTCTTCCAATCGGCCCTTGTGTTCCTGGGGCTGGATTAGGCCCCCCCGCCCCCTTCGCTTTGGCTCACCTGGTCTACCAGGTGAGCTCGGCTCCCTTGCCGCGGCCTGCCTTGAGACACCGGGGAAGGGGGGGGCGTTTTTCATCCCCGCCAGCCTTGTCGGCAGGAGCTGGATCCAGGGGCGACCCCCCCCTCGTTCCCCCCACCCCCGACAAGTGGAAGCGTGTGCGCACCGCCGCCAGCTCCGCGCAGCCCTCGCCGGCTTGGAATGCGCCCCCCCCGTCGCTCTGGTTTTCCGATTCGGCCCGCCCCGCGTGTGCCTGCCGCCCCCTTTGAACTACAGAAGCTGAGGAGGGGGGGCTTTTTGCCCCCCCCCTGTTCGCCTTGGGGGAAACGGGGGAGCAGCAGCCAGCGGAGCGCCAGGATTCTTTGGGGTCTCCTCCCCGGTGCGTATTGCACCCTTGCGGAGGGTTCGCGCTCCCATCTCGTAGCAGCGCCCCCCCCTGCACACACACACTTCCCTTGCCGGGCCCACAACTCTCCAGGTGTTGGGGGGGGAAAGTCCCGGCCCAGCGGAAGGTTGCCCCCTGTTGTGTGTTTATGTGGGGGAGGGGATGAACAGGTGGATGGGAGTTCCACAGAGGATTTCTTTTTTCTTTTTATCTGCCCTGGAGCAGGGGTCCCCAACCTTGGTCACTTTACGACTTGTGGACTTCAACTCCCAGAATTCCCGAGCCAGCATAGCTGGCTCGGGAATTCTGGGAGTTGAAGTCCACAAGTCATAAAGTGGCCAAAGTTGGGGACCCCTGCCCTATAGCAGCGGCATCATATAAGTCAGCGTTTCTCAACCGTGGCAACATTAAAGATATGTGGACATCAGCTCCCAGAATTCCCCAGCCAGCATACCATGCTTATGGCAGGACTAGAACTCAGGGCCTCCCGGTTGTTGCTCCTCCGTACGACACCCCCGTCGCTACCTGTCTTCTCCGGACCCGTCCTCCTTGCTGCCCGCCCTGGGACTCAGCCCTGCCTACGCTGGTGACAAATGGCTTATCTTGGCATCTCTTTTATTTATTTATGTATATTTCATGTTTCTAGACCCCCCCCCCACAATCTCCCTGAAGGAGGGGCGCTGGGCTGTTGCTTTGCCAGAGGTTGGTGAGGGAGGATGAAGAGATGGGGGTGCTAGGAATATTTTTCTCTGGAAGGGCCTTGCTTTGAATTGGGGGGGGGTTCAAAGCAGAGCTCGAACCCAGCAGCCCTTCCCCCCCCAAAAAATGTGATTTACTTCCTTGATCCCGTCCTGTTTTTTCTTGCCCCAGATTCCTGGCTGAGTCCTGCAATGGTTTCCTTGCTCCAGGATCAAGCCAGGATCAAGTTTCCTTCTCTGGATCCCCTGGAGAGCAACCCACGTGGAAACGCCATGCAGGCCTGCGAAGAGACCGTGTCCCCTGCCCAGCAGGTGAGGATCGCTGCTTGGCCTCCTTTCCAGACAGCCCAGGGATGGAAGGAAGGGGGGTCCTTGAAGCCCCCCATCCCAAAAAAGCTGAGCTCTCCCGTCTTTCTGCTGAGCTGGGCAGGGCAACAGGGCTGATGTAGTTGGGGAGGGGGTGGGACGGAGGCCGCCCCTCCTCTGGGAACCAGGGGTGGGGGTGGTGCCAGATAGGACCGCATGGTTTAGGAGGGGTCTTCCCCTTGCCAAGCTGAAATACCTCCCTCCCCCTGCAAGCTTTTTCCAGCTGCCCACCAAATTTCTATTCTATATTCTATATTCTATATTCTATTGTGTTCCTTATTCTATCCTATTCTAGATTCTATTCTTGTTTTAATTTATTCTATTCTATTCTATATTCTACTCTAGTCTATATTCTATTCCTTATTCTATTCTATTCTATATTCTATTCTTGTTTTAATTTATTCTATTCTATTCTATTCTATATTCTACTCTATTCTATATTCTACTCCATTCTATATTCTATTCTATTCTATATTCTATTCTTGTTTTAATTTATTCTATTCTATATTCTATTCTATTCCTTATTCTATTCTATTCTATATTCTATTCTATTCTATTCTATTCTATTCTAGTCTAGTCTAGTCTAGTCTAGTCTACTCTATTCTATTCTACTCTACTCTACTCTACCCCACTCCATTCTATGTTCTCCCTTCCCTTCTGCCCCCCTCGTCCTCTCCTCTCCTCCCCCTCCCCTTCGCGGGGTCCCTCACACCCCAGCGCGGCTCTTCCCCACAGGCGCATCCGGGCTTCCACCGCCAGCCCCGCGACGGACACGGCCGGGCGGACCGAAGCCCTCCTGGATCCCCGCGCAGTTCCGCCGCCTCCCCGCCCTGCCCGGAGCAGCTCTTCGCCCGCTTCCCCGCCGGCCAGCACCTTCCCCGGGAGACGGCCGCCTACGAGGTGCCGCCGCCGGCCGAGCCCCCCCGCCGCTCCGCCTACGAGGACGGGGGCGCCGCGCCCTGCGGCCGCTTCCCCGGGGGCGCCCGGCGGAGCCCCTTCCACCCCTACCAGCGGCCGGGGCCGGCGGAGCCCTTCCCCGAGGCGCGGCTGGCCCTGGCGAGGGAGGCCGGCCAGCCCTTCCCGGCCGGCGCGGCCCAGGACGCCTTCGACGGCTTTCCCGCCCAGCTGCCCCACCTGGGCCCCGATCCGGCCTGGAGCAGCGGGACGCCGCACAGCAGCCTCGGGCAGGAGCCCCACCTGCCGCCGGCCCAGGTGAGTCCTCTGGGTGGCCCGCTGAAAGCCAGCGCCGGGGACGATGGGCTTGGTTCCTAGTGGCCTCCGCAGCCTGGGGCTCAACTATCTAGCCCCCCCCCAGCCAGGGTCTCTCCCTCCCCCCCTCCCCCCTCCGGAAGACCCCCCCAACTGCTGAACCCGAGAGGGGGGCAGGAGCCTGGAGTTGGAAGGGACCTCAGAGGTCATCTAGTCCAGCCCCAACCCCCATCCCTCCCAAGGCAGGCGTCCGTATTGCATCAAAGTTTTGTTTGCATTCCTGAAGGGTTACATTAAATTTCCTGAACACTTTATTCTTGCTTTTTTATATATTTTCATTTACCGCTCAAAGTTGTTACCGACCATTCAAAGTCACAACAGCCCTGAAAAAAGTGAACTTATGGCCGGTTTTCACTCTCACAACCCTTGCAGTGTCCCGGCGGTCGCGTGATCAAAATTCTTGGCCGCTGGCTCAGAGTTACGACGGTCGCAGTGTGTCCCGGGGGTGTCGCGTGATCCCCTTTTGCCACCTTCTGCCAAGTGGCGCTGACGGGGCAAGCTGGATCCACTCAACGCCCGGTTACTCACTTATCAACTTCAGTGATTCGCTTAACAACCAGTTGCAATAAAAGTCATCAAATGGGGCAAAACTCACTTAACGACGGTCTCGCTTAGCCACAGAAATTTGAAAGGGGATCACACGACCCCGGGACACTGCAATAGCCACCGATACGAGCCAGTTGCCCAGCGGCCAAATGTTGATCACGTGACCCTGAAAATGATGCTCTTAACAGAGAAAACCAGCCATAGGTCACTTTTTTCAGTGCTGTTATAACTTCGAACGGTCACTAAACGAAGCATGGCAAGCCGAGGAGTGCCTGTAATGTTATGCTCAGGGTGGCAGACAGGGACAGGTCTGCAAGGGTGGGTGGGTGGGTGGGCACTGATCCCTCTGTGCCCTCCCCCTGGATTGAAGGAAACCCCCCCCCCAGAGCTGCATGAACTAGATACGATAGCAGATAACCCTAAAATTGAGGGCAGGAGCAGGGGATGATGGGTGATGGAGGCCAAGAAGCCGGGTGGGCTTCATCCGTGCTCCGGGGCCCCTGGGTTTCTGCCACGTGGGTCTAGGTTGGCTCCTACATCTCTCTGGCCTGGGCAGGAGAGGGTTTTGTCCTTTGGGGAGATCTCAAGGACCCCCACATTCTCTTCCCCACAGGAGGCCCATGCCAGGCTGAAAACAGCCCCCCTGGAGGAGCAGCCCGGCCCCTACTGCTGCCAGCCCCACGGACCCCCAGGGTACTGCACCTCCCACCCCTTCCACCAGGTAAGGGCTGAAGTGAAGGCCCATCACAGCTTCCGGCTGCATTTGCCAGGCTCAGTGAAGTCCTGTAACTGGAGGACCTTTGCATTCAACGCAGCTGAATTATTTCCCTGTCTACCAAAGAGGCAAACTGGCATTTGAGGAGGGGTCTTTGGGATGGAGATCTGGGGGCAATTGCCCTTTGTGGCGCTGGGTCTGAACCCTGGGCCGGCTTGGGGTCCAGGAAAAGCCTTGGTAGTACCCCCTTGAAGTCCATACCTAGTTTTTTTTCTCAACCAACTCAGGAAAATCTGCCCAGATTATACAGAATAACACAGTTGTAAGGGACCCTGGAGGTCTTCTAGTCCAACCCCTGCTCAGGCAGGAAGTCTTATACCATTTCAGGCAAATGGCTGTCCAATCTCCCCTTAAAAAGCTCCAAGGAAGGAGCACCCATAACTTCTGGTTGCAAGCTGTTCCACTGGTTAATTGTGCTCACTATTAGGAAGTTTCTCCTTAGTTCCAGGTTGCTTCTCTCCTTGATTAGTTTCCATCCGTTGCTTCTTGTTCTGCCTTCAGGCGCCTTGGAGAATAGCTTGACTCCCTCTTCTTTGGGGCACCCCTGAGATACTGTAACACAGCTATCATGTCCCCCCTCGACCTTCTCTTTGTTAAATTAGACATCCCCAATTCCAGCAGCCTTTCCTTATATGTTTTAGCCTCCAGTCCCCTAATCATCTCTGTTGCTCTTCTCTGCACTCTTTCCAGAGTCTCAGCATCTTTTTTACATCGTGGTGACCAAAACTGGATGCCGTATTCCAAGTGTGGCCCTACCAAGGCCTTGTAAAGTGGTATTAACACTTCCTGTGATCTTGATTCTATCCCTCTGCTAATGCAGCCCAGCACTGTGTTGGCTTTTGGGGCAGCTGCAGCGCACGGCTGGCTCGTATTGAAGGGATGGTCCACTAGGACTCCAAGATCCCTCTCCTAGTTGCTACTATTGAGCAAGGTACCACCTATACTACAGCTGTGCATTTGGTTTCAAAGCCTTTTGATGAATGGCCATTTTGCCCTGTATGGTCTTCCCCAATTTGGGGTCTTCTGAATCTCCTGGATTTCAAGTTCTGCAATTCCAGGGGTAGGTCAGGATTCTACTGGCTGGGGATTATGGGTCACGGGAGCAAGGCTTTTGCAGGTGAGAGGTTGGAGAAGCTTCAAAACACACAGGCAAGCTTATATCAGCTCTGGAACTGGTTCGGCTAGTCTTGGGCCATCGCTCTGCCTACCGAGCCCGTCACTTCTTCCTGGTTTGATTATCTCAGATTATCTGCTGCTTATCAAACTCTCCTTCCAAGGTCATTGCTGTCAGATGCCGGCCAATTAAAGGTCAGAGACCTTCAGCCATCCTGCCCCTCTTCATCATACTGTCCACAGAGTCACAGAGAAAAGAAGAAATAGGGGAGACAAGACAGCAGCGTTCCAGTATCTGAGGGGCTGCCACAAAGAAGAGGGGGTGAAACTATTCTCCAAAGCGCCAGAGGGAAGGACAAGAAACAATGGTTGGAAACTGACCAAAGAGAGAAGCAACCTGGAATTAAGGAGAAACTTCCCAACAGTGAGAACAATTAACCAGTGGAACAGCTGGCCACCAGAAATTGTGGGCGCTCCATCACTGGAGATTTTCAAGAAGAGGCTACACAGTCACTTGTCTGAGATAGTATAGGTTCTCCTGCTTGAGGGGGTGGCTGGACTAGAAGACCTCCAAGGTCCCTTCTAGCTCTATGCTATCCTATCCTATCCTATCCTATCCTATCCTATCCTATCCTATCCTATTCTATTCTAATCTAATTTTAATTTTATTCTAATCTAATCTAATTTTAATTCTATTCTATTCTAATCTAATCTAATTTTAATTCTATTCTATTCTATTCATCTAATCTAATTTTAATTCTATTCTATTCTAGTCTAGTCTATTCTATTCTAGTCTAGTCTAGTCTAGTCTAGTCTATTCTATTCAAGTTGGGAGGGGTCCCTTGAACCATTAACGCCCAAGGGCAGACCTGGCCATTTTACGGCTCCTGGTCCACATCTGGCCTTTTGACTGCCCTGTCCAGCCTGAATGGATTGCTTTTACAAATATCCTTCACTTATGACCACTGTTGCTAAGCGAGAGAGTTGCTAAGTGAGTTTTGTCCCATTTTACGACCTTTTTGCCACTGTTGTTAAGTGAATCTGGCTTCCCCTATTGCCTTTGCTGGTCAGAGAAGGGGACCCCATGACCTTGGGGACACAGCAGTGGATCAGTTGCTGAGTTTCTGAATTTTGAACACGTCAAAAGGCTACAACGGTCATAAGTGTAAAAATGATCATATGTCCCTTTTTTCAGTGCTTTTGTAGCTTCGAACGGTCACTAAATTAACTGTTGCAAGTTGAGGACAGCTTGACTTGACAACTGAGCCCAAAATTTCTGCTGCTAAGTAATACATTGAGTTTTATCTCCTTTTATGAACTATTGTAATCAGAGGACTGTGTAGTTTGAAGGCGACTGCGTTTTTTTTCTCGATGTGCGGATGTGCGTGCATGTCTGCATATCGTCTTCACAGGCCATGTTAGTTCGGCCCTCCACGACGGCTCCAGTTTCTCACGTGGCCCCTTGAGAAAATGAGTTCCCCCCCCCGCCCACGTAGGTTCTAGCTGATGTGGGGCACCAGGGCTGGACATCCCGTCCCCCAACTTAAGCAGGCAGCTGGGCTCCAACATGGCAGAAGCCACTCCGATGGTCTGGATGGGGCCGCTGGAGGAGGGACTTGACTGCAAAGTGGAACGGCAGCAGCATCCGAGGGGTTGACCCTCCGTGGGGGATGCCATTCCCTTTTAGACCTGGCCCCTCGAAGCCCGTTGCTTCCCTTCCTCTCTTTCCCACATTGCCACAAACGTTTGGCTTGTAGCAGCCTGGAGTTGTGTTCACAGCTGACGCCTACACTGACAATTGCAATCTGCCAATTATTGCAAAATGTCCGTTTGTTTGAAGATGGGTCATCAAGTCTGTGTTGGCTCTTAGTGACCCCATAGTTTTTTCTCCATGGCAATCGGCTCCTAAACTGGACTATTTTTGGGGGGGCAACGATGTCCCCATCGCTACTGTCTCTGAATATCCCTCCTCCTCCAGCTGGTCATCCTCTCTCTCCTTCCATCTTTTCCCACCAAGGTGATTCCTGTCCACGGATTTGGAAGCAGGGTTCTGCTGTTGCAGCCATCTGTATTCTGTGCCATCTATAGCAGTGTTTCCCAACCTTGACCAGTTTAAGGCATGTGGACTTCAACTCCCAGAATTCCACAGCCAGCAATGCTGGCTGTGGAATTCTGGGAGTTGAAGTCCTCATGCCTTAAACTGGTCAAGGTTGAGAAACACTGTTCTATAGGTTGACAGACTTGAAGGCACAGAGCATAACCCATCCACCCATCCATCCACCCATCAATCCCTCAATCTCCTATCCTAGAATTATGCAATTAAGTATCATTTCCTCAGGGAAGAACTTTGCATTTGCCTTTTAAATGAAATTTCACTCTGATATTCGCCACTATTGCAAATTACACTCTGTGGCTTTCAGCCCGTTTCTTGGCGGGCTTTGAGAATCCAAGATGGACTTTCCACATTTTTTAGTTCCTTGCCCTTAAAAAGACTGACCATAAAATCTGACCGAGAAAGCAAGCCCAGCTGCATTTCTCCTCTTCTTCTGCTTTCAGTATCTCGCCAGCAACGCCCTTCCGCTCCCCTTCCTCTCGGCTCCCCACCACCCCTACCAGAGGATGGGGCTGCCAGGACCTCCACAGCCACCACCACCACCCCTCTTTCCAAAGCCCATCTACTCTTACAGGTAAGTGTTCGCCGGCATTCGCACCCGGCTGCTCTGGGACCTCGGCGGGGGCACCGGAGTTTGGCTCCCAACTGACCAGAGCCTCATTGGGAACGTCTCCGGGTTCCCACTATAGGATGGGGAGGGGGGGCAAATTGGAGAAATGTCTGCGACAACAGGGGTGTACACAATCCAATACACATTACCACAATCCCTGGAGAAAGGAAGAGGCCAGCCCCTGGCAGAGGCTGAAGAATGTACCATGAGTGTCCAGGGCAGAAGCTCACCGATCGCGGCTGAAGTTCAGATTTTGTAGGAAATGTGGGGAGGGAACTGTGCAAGGATCTCGTGGTTTTGCCAAGAAAGAAAAACTCTGCCTGTAAGGGCCTTGGGAGACGGGTCAGGGCCACAGACTAGGCCACAGTCAGCTAAGAGGCAGCCGAGTCTGCAGAAGGAACAGGGGCGTGGCCAGGGAGAGGGTGAATTCTAGTCCCGCCTTAGGCATGGATGCCGACTGGGTGACATTTGGCCAATCACCAGGAGCTGGTGAGTTCTAGTCCCGCCTTAGGCATGAAAGCCAGCTGGGTAACTTTGGGCCAATCACCAGGAGACGGTGAGTTCTAGTCCTGCCTTAAGGCATGAAAGCCAGCTGGGTGACTTTGAGCCAATCACCAGGAGACGGTGAATTCCAGTCCCGCCTTAGGCATGAAAGCCAGCTGGGTGACTTTGAGCCAATCACCAGGAGACGGTGAGTTCTAGTCCCGCCTTAGGCATGAAAGCCAGCTGGATGACTTTGAGCCAATCACTAGGAGACGGTGAATTCCAGTCCTGCCTTAGGCATGAAAGCCAGCTGGGTGACTTTGAGCCAATCACCAGGAGACGGTGAATTCTAGTCCCGTCTTAGGCATGAAAGCCAGCTGGGTGACTTTGAGCCAATCACTAGGAGACGGTGAATTCTAGTCCCGCCTTAGGCATGAAAGCCAGCTGGGTGACTTTGGGCCAATCACCAGGAGATGGTGAATTCTAGTCCTGCCTTAGGTGTGAAAGCTGCCTGGGTGATTTTGGGCCAATCACCAGGAGATGGAGAGTTCCAGTCTGACCTTAGGCGCAAAAGCCGGCTGATTGGGACTGCAGAGGTGTGCCAAATCAGGAAATAAAGCCAGCCAGTCTTTCTGCAGATTGCTGACTTTGCCCACCTCTGCAAACCCACCAAATGTCCTTTGAGTGAGACTTTTTGTAAGGAAGACGGCTGGGAAAACGTCGTGAAGTTCCTCAGAGGAGAATAATTTGGGGTTCCAACTCAAGCCGGGATTGCACAAGAACAAATCAAAATGAAATCCAGACAGATGTGAGGAAAAGAGATGTATTTCTTTATTGCCAAAAGCAAAGAGGCTTGCTTGCCTGTGGGGGTAGCTACAGAGAAGATGGGATACAAAAGGGCTGCTTTATAGGGGAGCCTGTCCTTGGTGTGAATCTTGCGGGGTGTGAGTGTGTGTACGAACTGGTACTAGGGCAGGGGTAGGCAACCTTTGCTCTTTTATGACTCAAGGACTTCAACTCCCAGAATTCCTGAGCCAGCATGGCACAGCTTGGAAACCTCTCCCTTTCCCCTCAGCATGGCTGGCTCAGGAATTCTGGGAATTGAAGTCCACCAGTCATGAAGGGGCCATAGTTTCCCCCACCCTGGCTCAGGAATTCTGGGAGTTGAAGTCCACAAGTCATAAAAGAGCCGAGGTTGCCTACCTTGTTCTAGGGTGACACTTGAGGGGCATAGATGTATGTATGTGTTGATGCCTCACCCCTGATTAATTAAGTCAAAAGATGTGGATTGAGTCTCTTCTTTTGAACTGTGTTATAATTATCTTCCCATTGTGTTCATTTAATTTTTCTGTGCTTGCTTGTGGGCGTTTATAATTTGAAATAAGTGTTTAACAATTATTTACGTTTGCTGTAAGTTCAAAAGGATTTTGGAGGCTGTTCAACAGTAACTTTGCTGGAGACCTACGTTGGCAAACTTATGATTCCCTATACCACGGCCTGGTAGTGCAGGGCTTTTCAACCTTTTCACCCATTGTACCACTTTTAGGATATGGCAATATCCGAATACCACCAGTCGCCTAGCAAGGTGTCAAAAACTTGATGACCAAAAAAAAGAAAAGGGAAAAAGTGATGAAGTGCAGGTAGTCCTCGACTTACAACAGTTCGCTTAATGACTGTTCGAAGTTACAATGGCCCTGAAAAAAGTGCCCCCCAAGCCACAGCCGAGCAAGACACCTGCCTGCCCACCTGGCGGTGCTCTTCCTCCTGTCTTAGGTTTTCATTGTTGTGAGCATTTCTGTTGAGGATTGGCAATGGGGGTGGGGTGTTTGGTTTTTATTCCCCCCATCTGCTGGGTGGTTGCAGCAGGTTTTGGTCACTTCACGTGACCCTGGGAGACTGTGACTGTCATAAATATGAATCAGTTGCCAAGCATCTGAATGTCAATCACAAGACCCTGGAGAGGCTGCAACGTTCCAGCTGATCGGCGCTTCTTCTGGACTCAGCAGAAGCGCCAGGATCAGTGCTGCTTTCCAGCTGATTGGTGCTTCTTCTGGGCTCAGCAAAAGCACCAGGATCAGTGCTGCTTTCCAGCTGGAGCCTGGCGCTGATCCTGGCGCTTCCATTGAGCCCTGACAGCCCCAAAGAAGCGCCGATCAGCTGGAAAGCGGCACTGATCCTGGCGCTTCCGCTGAGCCCTGCAGCTCCAGCCGTCTCTCGCTCAGGCATGTGCAGTGCTGTCATCGGTTCAGCTCATTCCCCTCCCCCGCTACCCCTTTTCTAGGATGGTCGCGTATCACCTGCCAGGTGCCAATGGACCACAGGTGGTACCCGTAGCACTGGTTGAAAAGCCCTGCCATATACAATATTTCTAACACAGTTATATAATTTATAAATTCTTCCCACATCCTGGACCCTCTGTGGGTTCAGAGGTGGTCTGCATTGCCCCGGTCAGTTCCAGAGTCCAAGACCTCAGGTGCTGAACAGGTCTCCTCCACCATGCTGGAGTCCCTCATTCTCGAAAGAGTGCAGAGAAGAGCAACAAAGATGATCAGGGGACTGGAGGCTAAAACATATAAGGAACAGTTGCTGGAATTGGGTATGTCCAGTTTAACGAAGAGAAGGACGAGGGGGGACAGGATAGCAGTGTTCCAATATCTCAGGGGCTGCCCCAAAGAAGAGGCAGTCAAGCTGTTCTCCAAAGCACCTGAAGGCAAGACAAGAAGCAATGGATGGAAACTAATCAAGGAGAGAAGCAACCTGGAACTAAGGAGAATTCCTGACTGTTAGAACAACTAACCAGTGGAACAACCTGCCTCCAGAAACGGTGAATGCTCCAACACTGGAAATCTTTAAGAAGAGACTGGACAGCCATTTGTCCAAAAATGGTATAGGGCTGTGGTGGCGAACCTATGGCATGCGTGCCACAGGTGGCACTCAGAGCCCTCTCATTGGGCACGCGTGCCGTTGCCCCAGTCCTAGGCCTTCAGCTGGGGTTTATAAAACCTTTTATAAAACCTCCCGTGTGCAAAAAAAAAAAAAAAAGGTTCAATCAATCAATCAATTTCAACTTCTCGCGGGGAAAAAAAAGATCTCACTAAGTTAGAATTGATTGATTGAACTTTTTAGCCCCACCCAGTCTGCCGTTACCACCGCAGCCACGCCCACCCAATGGGCCACGCCCACCTGGCACCCAGTGATACATCAGTGGGTTTTGGGTTGCAGTTTGGGCACTCGGTCTGTAAAAGGTTCGCCATCACTGGTATAGGTTGTCCTGCCTGAGCAGGGGGTTGGACTAGATGACCACCACCACCATCACCACCACCACCACCATCATCATCATCATCATCATTATTATTATTATCAATCATCGCACAGTCAGCCAGATGTTCAGACTGGATTTGGCATTTTGTCTACCTATCGAGTCCTTACCCAGGACCTGGGATAGGCAGATGTGGATGTTTGATGGTATTACAGGTATCGTCGCAGGATGGAAGCAGTTCCTAATAAGGCTGCCTTTTGCAATTGACTAATAGCGAATTTGTCAATGCCAATGGTGTTCAAGTGGTGCTCCAGTTGTTTTGGGATTGCACCCAAGGAGCCTATGACTATTGGTACTACCCTTGCTTGCTTTTGCCACAGTCTTTCTATTTCTATTTGTAGGTCTTTGTATTTTGTTATCTTCTCCAGTTCTTTCTCTTCTATTCTGCTATCTCCAGGCACTGCCACGTCCACTATCCAGACTTTTTTGTCTTTCTTATCGACAATTGTTAAGTCTGGGGTGTTATGTTGCAGGTGCTTGTCTGTTTGAATTCTGAAGTCCCAGAGCAGTTTAATTTTATCATTTTCTATGACTTTCTCTATTTTATGATCCCACCAGTTTTTGCTTACAGGCAAATGATATTTTTTGCAGATCTTCCAATGCACCATTGTTGCTATTTTGTCATGCCGCTGCTTGTAATCAGTTTGTGCAATCTTCTTGCAACAGCTTACCAAGTGGTCCACTGTTTCTTCAGCTTCTTTGCATAGGCGGCACTTACTGTCTGTTGCTGTCTTCTCAATTTTGACTTTGTATGCATTTGTCCTTAAGGCTTGGTCTTGTGTAGCCAGAATTATTATTATTATTATTATTATTATTATTATTATTATTATTATTATTATTATTATTATTATTATTATTATCTCCCGGGGTTCTTTCCCCCGTCACCCTCCACCCATATAGCAAAGCAAGTCCCTGCTAACCATGGTTTGTTCCCTCTCCTCCACAGCATCCTCATATTTATGGCCCTCAAGAACAGCAAAACCGGGAGTCTACCTGTCAGCGAGATTTACAACTTCATGACCGACCACTTCCCTTACTTCAAGGTGAGTCACGTTATCTCTGGAGGTGCTTCTTCCCATCCGCAGAGGCACCAGCAATTTGGGCTTGGGAACAGATATAATTCAGCGGTGAGAAAAGTAAGGCAAGAAAAACCCAATGCACGGGTACAGATTAGGTCGTTCCTTGCAGATTAGGAAGCAACTGTGAGAGGGATCTCGGAGTTCTTGTGGACAACCACTTAAATCTGAGCCAGCCGCGTGCGGCAGCAGCCAAAAAAGCCAACACAGTGCTGGGCTGCCTTAACAAAGAGAAGATAGAATCTAGATTACGTGAAGTGTTAGTACCGCTTTGTAACACCGTGGTAAGGCCACACTTGGAATACGGCACCCAGTTTGGGTCACCACAATATAAAAAGATGTTTTTTTATATCTCTGTCTGGGGAATTCTGGGAGCAGAAGTCCACAAGTCTTAAAGTGGACGAGGTTGGGTACCCCTGGGCTGGGCCACAGACAGACGACCTGACAGCAGCTAAACCCCTGTCCAGTGCATCAGCCTCCCTTCACCCACCCCTGGGGAAGGACGGGGGACACCCAGTGGGAGGGGACGCAAAGTGAAAGATCCCCAATGCCTTCCTTTCTCCCCCCCCCCCAAATTAAGCCCCCCAAAGACCGCAGCGTCTGTTAGTCAGGGAAAAGCACAATTGGGACCATTGATCCAAGTGGGTCAGCCTGCATTTCGGCTGCTGGATGCCCGGGTGTCTGTTGCTTCCTTTGCGCATGAAAAAAATGCATATTTAAAGCATGTCCCCAGGGCGCCTAGGCGGGCCGGCCTGCTGTTTTTCTTCCAAAATCCCAGAAATCTTAGAAGGGCCCCGAGTGGCTCCCAGAGAGCAGCGCCAAGGGATGGAGGCGCAATTTACTGGCGCAAGAAGAAAACATGCAGTGCTGGGGAAAACACCCCAATGACACAATGAACTCCTCCGGCCTCCCTTGCAAGGGGGGTGGTGATGCAACCGGCTGCTCGGCTCAACTCCTACGTCTGTCCGGCAGCCTCTTTGAAGCACCCAGCACCTGCTCCTCGGAATGGGGGTGCGGAGGGGCCTTGCGCAAGAACAGACACGCCAAAAATTAGGAGGCTTCCGCTGCTCAAAGGGCAGAGGGAGCGATGGGCAGGCACAGCCTTTCTCAAGCTTAGCAACTTTCAGATGCATGGACTTCAACTCCCAGCATGCCCCAGCCAACATGCTGGCTGGGGGATTCTGGGAGTGGAAGTCCTTCCCTCTTAAAGCAGGCTGGCTGCGGAATTCTGGGAGTTGAAGTCCAGCCGTCTTAAAGCAGGCTGGCTGGGGGTTTCTGGAAGTCCTTCCCTCTTAAAGCAGGCTGGCAGGGGAATTCTGGGAGTGGAAGCCCACCCCTCTTAAAGCATGCTGGCTGCGGAATTCTGGGAGTGGAAGTCCATTCCTCTTAAAGCAGAATGGGTGGGGAATTCTGGGAGTAGAAATCTCACTTTTTTAAAACAAGATGGCTAAGGAATTCTGGGAGTTGAAGTCCATCTGTTTTAAAGCATGCTGGCTGGGGAATTCTGGGAGTGGAAGTCGTCCCCTCTCAAAGCAGGCTGGCTGGGGGATTCTGGGAGTGGAAGTCGTCCCCTCTCAAAGCAGGCTGGCTGGGGGATTCTGGGAGTGGAAGTCCATTCCTCTTAAAGCAGGATGGGTGGGGAATTCTGGGAGTTGAAATCTCACTTTTTAAAAACAAGATGGCTAAGGAATTCTGGGAGTAGAAGTCCATCTGTTTTAAAGCGTGCTGGCTGGGGAATTCTGGGAATTTAAATCCACCCATTTTCAAGTGGGCAAAGCTGAGAAATCCTTCTGGGCTGGGAGGGTGCACCTGAACGGCATCTGCCTTTCTTTTCACCGCTGAGGTCTGGAGGGTCTGGACACCTGGCAGGGCTTGGCTTAATGCCAGGCCAGGGTGGCTGGGTGGGCAGAACAGCAAACAAAGGCCGGGCCGAATTTGGGGATTGGCATCAGCAGCCAGGCCCAGCGCCCTTCTGCTTCTCCTCCCTTGGGGTGCTCCCACCCTATTATTTTCCTGGTGTTTTGCCCTACAAAGGATGGCAAGGACTGCCGGGGTCCCGGGGGGGGGGGGATTCAGTCTCCCTCTTCTGGCTTCTTATCCTAACAAGGCTGGCTTCTTAGTGCTTGGAGCAGGGGGGAGACAATCCGGCCTGCTAAGGACCTGTATTAGTAGCCAGGAGCAGGAGAGGACCCCTTTGACCCTCCCCACTCCCTGGGACCCTGCCCATCCTCTGCTCTTCCACTTCAGAGGATCAGCAGAAGGAATGTCTACCCCAGGGGTAGGCAGCCTTGGCTCTTTTATGACTTATAATAATAATAATAAAGTTGGAAGGGACCTTGGAAGTCATCTAGTCCAACCCCCTGCTCGGGCAGGAAACCCTATACCAGGGGTAGGCAACCTTGGCTCTTTTATGACTCGTGGACTTCAACTTCCAGAATTCCTGAGCCAGCCATGCTGGCTCAGGAATTCTGGGGGTTGAAGCCACAAGTCATAAAAGAGCCAAGGTTGCCTACTCCTGCCCTGTACCATTTCAGACAAATGGCTGTCCAGTCTCTTCTTAAAAACCTCCAGTGTTGGAGCATTCACCGCTTCTGGAGGCAGGTTGTTCCACCGGTTAATTGTTCTCACTGTCAGGAAGTTCCTCCTTAGTTCTAGGTTGCTTCTCTCCTTGGTTAGTTTCCATCCGTTGCTTCTTGTCCTGCCTTCAGGCGCTTTGGAAAATAGCTTGACTCCCTCTTCTTTAGGGCAGCCCCTGAGAGACTGGAAGGCTGCTATCCTGTCCTCATCCTTCTCTTCATTAAACTAGACATACCCAATTCCAGCAGCCTTTCCTTATATGCTTTAGCCTCCAGTCCCCTGATCATCTGGAGCTTGCCTGGCTCAGGATTTCTGGGAGTTGAAGTCCGCAAGTCATAAAAGAGCCAAGGCTGCCCTACCCCTGGTCTAACCCAACCTGAATGCCAGCTGAACAAAACACAGGAGGGCGTTGCTCTCCCTCCAGCCAGAAAAGCCAGGAGGGGCTGTAGGCAAACTCAAGCCCCCTCCATGAAGTTGAGACAAGACCCTGACCCCCCACCTCCCCATTATGCAGACACATCCCTGGAGTTTTATCGGAAGACTTTGAATCCTAGCATGCAAGGGTTGGGGGCAGCCACAGAACCACCCCTGTAAAGACAAGAGAAGTTTTTTCCCCCACTTTTTCCCAGATCAGTTTTACGTTCCTAGGGCTTCCTGGTGGTCTCCCATCCCATTACAATCAGCTCTGAGCCTTCCCAAGGACCCGTCCTGCTTGATCTTTGGGAACGGCCAGAAGCTCAGCTCTTACCCTCTGAGGCCTCGCCCTAAAGGAGGGCCATTTTGGCAGCCTGCCCCTCTGAACACCTGCCAGGGGCCTCACCCTGCGTGGAAAAAAATCCCCTGGGAATCTCTGCAGGGCATTGCTGGCTGCCCCTCCCTTCTCAGGGCCGAGACACCCAGCTAAGCGATAATCCTGCTTTGAGCGGCCGCAGAATAGAGAAACCTCTGGGTTGGCAGGACGCTTTACGTTGGCATCGGAAGAATAGAACAGAACAGAACAGAACAGAACTAGATAAGAAGAATAGCATAGCATAGCGTAGCATAGAATAGAATTAAAATAAGGAACTGAATAGAAAGGAAAATAGAATAGAATAGGAATAGAATGGAATAGAATAGAATAGAATAGAATAGAATAGAATAGAATAGAATAGAATAGAATAGAATAGGAAAATAGAATAGGAATAGGAATAGAATAGATTTGAATAGAATAGAATAGAATTAAAATAAGGAACAGAATAGAATAGAATAGAATAGGAAAATAGAATAAAATAGGAGTAGGAATAGGAATTGGAATAGAATAGAATAGGAATAGAATGTAAAATAATAGAATAGAATAGAATAGAATAGAATAGAATAGAATAGAATAGTTGGAAGGGACCTTGGAGGTCTTCTAGTCCAGCCCCCTGCTCATACAGGAGACCGTATACCATATCAGACAAGTGACTGTCCGGTCTCTTCTTTAAAACCTCCAGCGATGGAGCACCCACGATTTCTTTGCCAATTTACATTATCAAAGGCTTTCTGTGCATCTAAAAAAAATAGGGCCATTTGTTTTCCTGGATGCATTTCATAATATTCCAGGATATCCAAAATAATTTTTAGGTTATTTTTTATTTGTCTTTTGGGTAGAAGTCCATTTTGGTCTGGATGAACAAATTCAGTCAGAAATCTTTTCAGCCTCTTTGCTATTATTGAGGCAAACATTTTATAATCCGCATTATGATGCTCTATAGTTCTTTATCTGTATCAAATCTGAATCTTCTTTTGGTATTAAAGTGAGATTCGCTTCTGTCCAAGTATTTGGTAATTTAGCCTCTTGTAACACACCTCATTACAAACTTCTTTCCTGAGTAAGCTTAATATATATCTTGTAAACATTTATAAAATGCTGCGGGTAACCCATCTGGCATGTATGGACTTCAACTCCCAGAATTCCTGAGCCAGCATTACTCAGCTTGGAAACCTCTCCCTTTCCCCTCAGCATGGCTGGCTCAGGAATTCTGGGAATTGAAGTCCACCAGTCATGAAGGGGGCCATAGATCCCCCATGCTGGCTCAGGAATTCTGGGAGTTGAAGTCCACCAGTCATGAAGGGGGCCATAGATCCCCCATGCTGGCTCAAGAATTCTGGGAGTTGAAGTCCACCAGTCATAAAAGAGCCAAGGTTGCCTACCCATGGTCCAGGCAGAGGACAGGAGCCACCGGCCCTTCGGAGCCTCCATCACATAAACAAAGTGATAAAATGAAACATATATGATAAATATTATAATGTAACGTACAGGTAGTCCTCAATTTACGGCCCCAACTGAGCCCAAAATTTCCATTGCTAAGCAAGACAGTTGTTAAGTGAGTTTTGCCCCATTTTATGTCCTTTCTTGCCCCAGTTAAGTG